TGGTTGTAAACATGAAAGTGTTGCTATTGAAGCTTATCAAAAGGCCATAAAGGAAAAGCACATCAACTTTCAATATTCTCTGCTAGCGTCAAGCTTTTCAGTTACTACGTTGTTTGTGATTTAATGATCAAATTGATCTCTTCTGTGAAAAAAGCTTGCCTGATTTGAGTCACTGGCACTCTGTTGTTTCCAAACTTAATCACTTCTGGATATCCTGTGAGCCACTAGAAATTCTGGGAAGGTGGTATACTAAAAAGCGAAGTTTGTCTCAGTCATCGCCTGATCCCAGTTTTGCTTGTTTTTGCATACTGTTAATGCCCACTGGGTATGTGTAGGCTCAGTAGGGTGTGAAGACGGCACTGTCAACTTATACGACAATCTGTATCATACCATTATTTTAAATGAAGTACAAGAGCAGGTAGCCAATCTTGTTGGATGTTCAAATTTTACTGGCATTTAAGTTGTTCCTGTTCAACAACCGCCAAATGGCATGTAGTGACCGCGGAGTATTTTCTTCNCTCAGTAGGGTGTGAAGACGGCACTGTCAACTTATACGACAATCTGTATCATACCATTATTTTAAATGAAGTACAAGAGCAGGTAGCCAATCTTGTTGGATGTTCAAATTTTACTGGCATTTAAGTTGTTCCTGTTCAACAACCGCCAAATGGCATGTAGTGACCGCGGAGTATTTTCTTCGGCCTTTGCTACATGTCTTGGTTATGGTATACACCCTGAAAAAGTGCAATTTAATGTCCCCAAAATGAGAACCCATCCATGTCAGTCTTTAAAATCTAGTGTATTGAAAATTTTTCCTACATTTTAAAGAGAAGGAATAAAGTTATTTAAGAGAAAATAATATAGTTGCCCAATGGACCTGTATATTGGAAAGGAATAATCAATATTGGAAAGGAATAATCAATTCACATAGTAAGTCTGAAATAAATTACACGGAATAACTAACATGATACTGAACTTCATTGATCGCTAAGTTCTTGATTGACAAATATGGGAATCGTTCTTCAATCTTAATTTCATTAATAGCATTAATAAATTCTTGAAACAAAGACATTAGCTTTTATTCCTTCGACTGTCGAACGGACCAAAAAGTTGCTTTGAGCACATCAAAATCCCGGAAAACCAGTGTAAAACCTTACTCTGTCATCATGATTAGCAAAACATTTTTCAGCAAAAGGTTGTAGACTGAACAGCCTGCTTAAATAAATATTCAAATTCCGTTGTTAGAGTTTCAGCATTTTGGGTTTTTATCTTTGATTCTGGCGGTTGAGTTTCAGCCGTTCATTGTTTTCTTGTCAAGACTGCGGTATAATTCTTCCTTGGTTTGTTGATCTTGCAACAGCTCGAACAGCTGTTTCTTCAGGGTCCTTTTCATGCTGTTTTGAATTCCTAAGATGGAGGGTAGGGACCCAGTCCACGTTGAATTGATCCCAATCTTACGCAGCTTCTCCTGAAACGAAATGCCGGTTGCAGACCCGATCGCGTTCGAAAATATCATCAATAAGTCATCTCTACTTATCGCAGAGATCCACATTCTTCTTCACTCAGAAGTGAGTTCTTCGGTATACTCTCCTCGATTGACTATAACCAGTAATCCAGTACCTCGCTGAAGCGGCTCTATGATTGACCGAACCAGTTTAATGTGTAGCAAGCGTAGCAGAGCGTATTATTGGTTAGAAGACAATGGACATTTTTCGTCATAGAGTTTGCACGCACTCTCTTGTACGCACACCACACTCAGTCTTCAGTGCGCTCTCGCTTTCACCTCTTCTCGATTTCTTTCGAATATTAGCACACCCTCGAATATTATATCTACGTTAAACAGTTTCAGCGAACTGGTAAACTCTGGACTAACCTGGTCAGTTAAGATTTGTGTCTTTCGGTGCATTTACTACTTTGTTGTGATGCTGTTTTGAAATGTAACTCTCTTTTCGTGATTGTTAGTATGCATGTGCGTGCCAAAGGACGAGTATATAATTGTGGTGGAGTTTTTATTTATTACTTTATTACATTGCCAAAGCGTGAGTTCGCCCCATGTAAGGGAATCCATAACAGTCTTGGATTCTGGATTCCATGCTGTGGATTCCGGATTCCGGGTACTGGATTCCGGATTCCAACACAGTGGATTCCGGATTCCAAAAAGAACTGGATTCCATTTTTTTCCCCGGTTTTAATGCTTTTCTTCGCACTTCGTTTTCGTGTTCCAATCTTGCTATATTGAAAGACGTTGTTAGAAGGCATAACAAGTTTGTTTTCTTTTTCGATTTACAAATTACGGGAAGAAATGTATTACAGTTCCGTAAGGGTTTATGGTATAATAATGAGGGGGACATTGGGGGACTCCCTTCACCGCAACACAGGTACCGCAGAAAAGAATAACAAACGCCGCATCACCGCAAAAAAACGTAGCGAAACACCGACATCGCAATTTAAAGTTTTGTCCTACGATTAATCTAATCCAAATCTCCATGTAATTGGGGATGGAGGATATTGAAGCTGGTTAGTGATTAGTAGAGAGTGAGACTGACCTCAGGACTCTATTTTTCACTTAATCTACTTTTGTGAACTCTATTTTCAGCCATGCTGATAGAAAAATGCATGCAACGCCCAGATTTCACCTATGGCGCGCCATCTGTAGCAAAATCCCTTTTTGATGACATAAAACGAAACGTAACGAAATTCATAAAATGTAACGAAATACAACGAAATGATATGGCGCGCCATATTTCACCTGTTATCCTTTTGTTTTGAAGTCTTTTTGTATAAAAAGACCATACAGATCATCCTTCGCTACGGATATGAAAAAAGCAGTGAAATATTTATTATTTAATAAATTTTAACCGACGTTCCTAGGAAGGTGGAACTTGTTTTGGGTCGTTGTGGACCTTTTGTCTATGAGTTTTGATGGTTGTGGATCATTTAGGTCGTTTTGGCTCATTTTGCCTGGTTTCTCGTTTTATTAGTTACTGGCCAAATAAACATAGATACGCCGTGGCGTGTGCAATTCATTCTTTGCAAAGTCTTTGGTTCTGTTCACTAAACAGTAGTTTTCCGTCCCAATAAAACTTGGAAAACCATTTTTATCTTATCTTTTAAGACTTTTTAAAACTCTCTGCCCGTGTCAATAAAGACTTTTGAAGAGGGTAAAAAATTCTCGCGTAGAAGTTGGCGCGTACTGCTTTGAGGTTTTAGCGAGCACAATGATAATGAAATTCAAAGTAACTGTCACGTTCAATTTGATGTTAAAAAGAACAAAAACAACAAAAAATAACCATGCGTATAACCACGTTTTGTCAGAAAAAAACTTCACGGCTCTATCAAATTCGTTGTTTAACACGTCGAAAATTGAGGATTTATTTCGAGCATGCGCTCTTTTATCGCCTGTCACATTCCTGACAGACAATAATCTGATTTGACCATATCTCGCCTTCGGCTTCGTCAATAAGAGATCTGGGTCTCTGAGATGTCCTGGGGTCTCTAGGATCCATTTCAAACAAAAGAAAAGTTACTGGCTAAACTGATCTCAGATTGGTCTAATTTCCAAAAGCGACCTCAATGTGAACGAGGCCTATTCAGGAGCACAACTGGAGAAAGAAAACATGAAAAATCCGTCTGTTCCTCGACCAAGTCTGAGATGACTGAGAGATCAAGAGAGACTTGAGCGTTTCTGACGCGTTGGCTCGTTTTTAGCGTTTTACAACCATATAGCGCTCATTTATACGATATTTTCTCCACGGACGACGTAAACTTCATATCACATTCAATTATGATTGCGAAAAAAATCAATCCTTCGTTCATGTTTGTGACTTGCTTACCGCCACGTTACGGTCCACAGATCGACACAAACGAAAAATCATGCAGCTTTGCCTTTGGCACGTTTAGATCTATCAGTCAGCTAACAATTGGTATAAAATTTCACAATACAGTATTACACGTACCTTTCTCTCTCAGCCTTTTGTTTGCTTGTGCTTTCCCATAACCTTTTTTTTTAATAACGTAGAAAAGAAAAATCCAACAGACAACAAACTTCAAACTCGTCTTATCGATAATTAAGGTGGCGAGATTTCACTCGAATGCCGGGGATGAATAAAAAAGACACCCACCGCGTCCTTGCACGTGATTACTTTAGTGACAGCCGATTGGTACGGTTCTGACAGTACCTAGCTTATTTCTCAAATAAAGATTATCGAAACCATGAAACTGTTCTCACCGAAACTACTAGGACCAAATTAGGGACTAAGAGACTGTGAATTTTTTTCTTTTTTGGTAAAATGTTGAAAGTGGACGTTTATTTTCAATTGTGAACTAGGAGGACCAGGAACGTTCAAGAAAAGTTTCACCCCAGGTGTACCTTTTCCGGTCCTATGCCAGGTCAAATCGCTTTTGATTTTTTAAGTTCAGCGAAGCGAGTGAACAACAGACAACAACAGAGAATCAAACATAGCCAGAGGTTGAAGCTATTCACAACAATCCAATTTATACCTTAAAAAGGCTTCGCTGTATTCCCTCGAAAACCCCCGAATTTTGTGATCCTGCCAGCCGCTCATAAGCCAGGGTTCCCTCGCTGACCGTGAACTTGACCTTTCATATGGAGCTCGTGAAGTATGGTTTTGACACCAGATATGCCGATATTACACTGTATGTCATCAAGTTGAGGCATATACCCTGGGGAGGCTTTCCATAGATGGTTTTTATTTCGAGCGAATAGCTCAATCCAATCTGGAGTAGATCTTTAGTAAGTTGGATTCCGGATTCCAATCTTTAGAAGGATTCCGGATTCTTAGTGCTGGATTCTGAATTCCAAAGCCCAGGATTCCGGATTCCACAAGCAAAAAATTCTTGGATTCCGGAATCCGGATTCCCTTACATGGGGCGAGTGAGTGTAGAATTGTGGTAGAGTATTTAGTTATTAGATAACATTGGATGAAAAGATCACACATTAAGCTTAATATAAGGAAGCTATTAGTTGTTTCAGTTCAGTTATGTCTGGAAAAGAAAAGTGGACTGCTAGGGGTACTGGCAAGTGCCCAAACTGCACTTTTACATACTCAACTTTCAAGACGCCAGAAAGATGCACACAGTGTCAGTTTTATCTTGGAGGAAAGTTTGTTCCTAAGGAAGGCACCTCTTCAAATAGAAAGAGTAAGTTAAACAACCCAGAGGCAGTATCTGTCTGTTCCTTTGCTGACAATTTACTTTATTCAATTAAATTTACCGACAGAGATGACAGAAGTTTTCGCTTGGTGGCTGGCTCAAGTCGGATCTGCTATTTTAATCCTTGTCGAAACTTACGTGCATTAGCAGTTTCTTCTGGACAAGAACAAGCAGCTTTTTGGCATGAAGTAAAAGTCGTGTAGGCCTACCACCCCCTTTTATTGCTATGGATTTTTTTACGGGTAGGCCTCGTTTTACCTTAAGAAAATCAACACAGGCACTAATAATAACCAAGCACAGAGTAGAAAGTTCAATGTTGCGCACCGAACAAGGAACGTCACGACACGCCACGACAAAGTGCAACTAAGTTGCTCTTGTAAAAGCAACTAACCACAAAGCCAACCCGGCAACTGATGAGGTTCGTGTGGAGAACCGAAACTATGGTCTTGCCTGATCACAAAGTGGCAATAACAAAACAGTTTAAAGACTGTTAAACTTATTCAAAGCTATTACCAAGCCCCGGGGCGGGGGAGGGGGCGGTTCTCCCGCGAATTTTGGATAGGGGTGTGCCGCGAAGGTTCCTGAACCCTAACCCTATTTAAGGACTAAGAAAGCGAAAACTGATACCCTTTTTAAGGCCGAAAGCAGAAAAATGACACTCTATTCAAGGAAAAAACAAAATTATTAATAGCATGAAAAGGAAAACTATGTTTCTTCTCTGTAACATTGGATGTACAGCATCAAGCATAACATACTGGAATAAGCCTAGTTTAAAAAAAATGTTCGTTTAGGCGGGCGTTTTCACACTCCAGTATTAGATAATCACTTAAGCTACCCTATCTAAGGACCACACCAGGGACACAGAAACAAAAGGGTAAAAAAAGATACCCTATTTAAGGACCGAGAACCTCAAAAACCATACCCTATTCCGCGGCACGTACCTATATTGCCCATATATGGGAGTACCCCCCCCCCCCGGGGATTACCAAGGGAGGAACTACGCGCTCCAGTCAAAAGACTCACACTATCTTTAGACAGGAGCAGATTACTTGGAGCTTCCATACGTGCTGTACCCTTGAGTCAACCCTTTCCGATAAAGAATTATTCTTAGAAGAGGCTTTCCCGCGAAATTAGTTTTAATTAATCGTTTTCGAGGACGTCCGCATATTTCTGTAGTGAGAAAAAAATGGCGACGAAAGAGGGAAATTGGCCAACAAGGTTACTCCTTGTTCCACCACCGTAACTCCTGCCTCCGTTCCTTCCCTTACAACCGAGGAAAGCTGGTTTCGAGTTAATATGAATAATATGTAATCTGGCTTAAAGATATTGCTATATTTTCTTGCAACGCACGAGGTCGTGTTTGCTGTTGTAGCACTTTAGGATGTTTAAATTTTGCTCGTAATGTTGTATTCCATCGCCCTTATTTAAAAGGCGCTTTTCAAAGAATTAAAAATTGAAACTCTTTGTTGGAGAGCCAGACTTTTTAAAAGGGAATTGGAGCACTTACGGTAAGCTCTGCATGGAACCTGGAAATCGGAGGCAATTTTGCGCCTTCCGCCGGCCTTTGTAAGTAGAAACGGTCGTGTCTTCTGTGTCTTATCTAGCGCAACCTGGGGCAGCGAAAATCAAGATGTTTTCTCATGATTTTGAAGGATTTCATTTTAAGAAGCAAAACGTCGAAGTGAAGAAAGGTATCGGTTTATGTTGTCCGGATTTTTATTCATTTTGATGGTGCTATATAAGTTATTATTTAGCTGCCACAAGACATGAAAGCTACAAACTCAGGAAGAATTAAACACTGTTTGGCAATCACACTATTTCTCAAGATGCTACAAGATTTCATGGCCGCAGCATATACTTGTAGACCTCAAATAACCGCAAAAGAAATATACAGGAGGACGTGACATGCCGAAACATATAACTTGCGCTGTGAAACCTTTGAGAACCTTTCTTTTATTCAAGGATTTTAATCTTTTGAAGTCGCTAGCCCCATCGGCTCGCTCCTTTTTTAATTTTATGACTGCCTGTTATTTTCCTTGTTTACATGTTACTTAGTTTCTTAGTAGCAAGAGAAAAATACCAGGCTCAGTAGATTCTGTATCGACAGTTGTTGTATTGTGTGAATGAAACCCTCAGTATGTTAGGTACACAACAGTTAATTTCGCTTTTAATTCGATTTCATTCCTGTTGAACATCTCGTTTGTTTTGTTTTATATGTCCACTTGAAATATTTGCCGTTGAGATTGTATGTTATCAAAAGCCGTTTTCATCCACAGCCACATTAATTTGGCTTATAAAAGTCCGTTCTTTATTCGCGACCTCAGATCTCGCACAATTACAGCCGCCGCGCAAGCGAAAGATGCAGTCCGTGTTCGATCTGTAACACAGTTGGAACAACATACTTTTTACTTCAAAATTAACTGTTGGATGATGCAGTGTGGTCCTTTGTGGAATTAGTAAAAAGCTCCAAAGCATTGCACAAGTGAGTTAACCAGTAAAGTAAAGTAACTAAAGAGCTTGATTTTCAATATTTATTTACCCGCTGTCGAGGGCCGGGACTGGGTTTTTCGTGATAAAACTTACGATATGCAGCCTACTGTCAAGATTACAAGAAAAATGGAGGCGTCGCATGTGTGTATCACCTTTTTCTTTTTGTTATTAGGCTTTAAGCGGGTATTTTTAACCCGATAGAAGATCAGAACTATCATCAGATAACTCTTCCACTTTGGCTACCGCCGTTGTTGGCAGCAATTTAAATCCCGCTTCTGTGACTCAGCGTGTGACGTATGATCATAGCTCTGCTCTGATTGGATATTACTGAGAAGGCGTGAAAAACATTCCGCGAAAGCTATTTCTATGAATAATTTTTCGTCGGAAAGGGTTGACTCCAAGGGCTTATATGGGAGATGGAGGCTCCAAGTAATCGGCTCCTGCTTTAGAAAAACACTAAGCTGGAGTTTACTGAGTCACAATTCAACTCTCCATAGTAAGTTTATGTAGCTTCAGTTTCAGCTGCACTTCATTCTTATAATTTTGGATCTGTAAATCACTATCCGTGATAATTTAAAATTCTGCAAAGAAAACTGACGAGCTGGGCCCAGCGTGATACAGCATTGCAGAAAAACATTACACTCACGGACTAAAGAAAATCGCTTAGTTATTCAGATCCAGAAGGCACTTTGGAGAAAATTGGAAACCTTATTCAGCCGTAATAAAAAAGATTTACGCTTCAAAAGAGGTCAAAGAAATGCGCTTTCATCAGAGGGCAAATCCTGCCGACCAGAAACAATAACTGCGGTAAATCGATATGTATGTCATGGCCTCTCAGTGTGAAACATGCGGCTAAAATCACATTTGCTCAGTGTAAATGTAGAACTTTCCAGAGCATAATCTACCCAGCAGATAAAAACAACTTTATTGGAATAAACAGCATTTTGGCATGAGGTAAAAGTCGTGTAGGCCTACCACCCCCTTTTATTGCCTTGTCTTTCTCGGGGTTTTAGAGCTCATCATTTGCCGAGCAAATTATATAGATTTATGGATTGAATATTAGGAGAGGGGACATGCCTGATAAATTGGCAGAAGCAATGTAAAAATACGCTAGTTCTTCGCTGCCATCAATCATAATTACAATCACAAGCAATAAAACCTCACACTAGAGTGACAGAAACACACAAAACTGATCGAAATCCACCAATCTCCAGTCACAAACCATGAACCCGTTGAAGTAAACTTCTGTGTCCTAAGATGTCCGCTAAGATGATCTTGAGGGGAGCGAAAAACGCAAACGCTGTCAGTTGTAATTGGCTCAGTTTGAGCTTTAGAATTCGCGTGTTTTGAAAAGTTCAGTAATGACTGACTCTTTGAGGGATTGCCAGGCCTCAGCCTGAAGGGAGTGCCTTATCTTGAGACATCTAGGTATTGTGTTGTGATAGAAAACAGAAAAAAAGAAAGGGAAACAGATTAAAATATTATTCCATTTAATATTCGTTCTTCTAAGGTGTGATATTAATTTTTAAGCACCATTTAAGTTCGATACAAATAACAAAAACAACAAGAAACCATTTCAAGATACCGAGAAATATAATCAGTTAGCTATAGGGATCAACTTATTCTAAAACATTGTCTTTAACACAAACTAAAACCTTAACCTGAAACTAAAGCCCTGCGTTTTACTTTCTCACAAAATGCTCGGTAAGAAAACAGCTTTTCTTGATCATTGCACTTTCTCGCTCTTTTTATCGGAAAAATCCCACCACGGTACAAACCACCATCAGGAGAATGCTGATCATGGGCGCTGCCCCATTGTTGCACAGGTCTTTCTCGCAGCAGTTAGCTTCGCAAGTTTTACCTTTTGCTTCCTTGCAAGCCTTCAACAACGTGGTGTCAAAGTTGTCGCATTGATTTTTGGTAGCACAAATTTTTGTGAACAATTTCGTTGTCGATAGACCAACTGTGAAAACCGTACCCCTAGTAGCGCAGCGATCGTTGGCTGCTCCGCAATCCGTCTCGGTTTGACTCTTGCTGCAGGCTTCCTTGCTTTCACCGCTAGAACATATGTAGCACTTGAGTCCAGCAACTGCGAGAAATTGTAATCTTTTAAAAGGTGATCTTTTCTCATAGGGTCTTTGCTTTCACTAATCAAAGGCTCCTAGGAGCGAGCTCATGGATGAATTGAATTAGGGTAGAAAAGACAGTTCAATAATCAAAGAAAAACATATCAATCTTTTTGAACGGTTCATTGTGTACGGACTTGCCAAAATACAGCGTGACTTGAAGTATCCGATTGCATGTGTACCTGAATATTCTAGAAATTTTTTATCAGCGC